TCCCTACCTCTTGCACTGCTGTCTGAGATAAGAAAGTTTATGTGCTTAAAGTGGTCAGCCCCTAAATATTCATGGCACCTTGGGTACTGTAAGTAGTTCCCTTATGCACCAATAACTGAATGTAACAGTGCCAGTGCTCCTGGGGCAGCCCCGATGCCCCTTAGTGATCATGCGGCTCCTGTTTGACTCTAGTTCTAAGGTACCCTCCCTTCTCTCCTGCCTGCCATATCTTGATTAATTGATTTTTTTTAATTTATTTTTTTTAAGGGAAGCTGCTCAAGGGTTCTTGAGTGAGCTTCAAACTATCTTCCTACCAGCAAATCCCTCTCAGATGTTTCAGGTCCCAACCCCGTCCTCATAGTTGGCCCTCCTGGCCTGTACATACCAACCAGGGTACCTGTTGCCTTATGGGCTGTTCACAGCTCTGGCCTCCCCTACAGCCATGCCCATGTCTCACAGTTGTTGCTCAGCACACGTTCAGTTCTATTCCTTGTAGAGACCTCAGCCCCCTTGGCTTCAGCCTCTTTTGTCTGGCTGCAAGTCTCCAGCCCTGACCCACTGCTCTGGGTCTGGCTGTCTCAGCCTCAGCCCTGTCAGTCGACAGTGTCTCTGGCCCTTGGGTCTCTCACTCTGAGCCTTTGGCTGTAGAATTTGCTCTTCTGGGGCTGCTGGGACCCTGTTCCTGGTCTCTGCCCCTCTTGGCTGATCTTGTCTCTCCTGGGCTACCAGTCCCTGACCCTAGCTCTAGCCCCTCCAAGGCTATGAGTTCACCCATCTTGGGGTACAGTCCCTGGTCCTGGCTTTTGTCCCGCTTGGGCACTGGTCCTGGCCCTGTCTCTACTACACTCACAATTTGAATCCCACCCCCTGGCTGAGCTTAAGGTAGTCACATGCTTCTCGGGCATGGCCAGGACCTTCACCTCCTCAGTAGTCCCAAACCCAAACCACCAGTCAAAACTCAAACAGAAAAACATAGGCACTCTGCCTCTAACATAACTGTTAGTCTGCTGGCCATCTCCTAAACTCTCTCTTCATTCTGGGTCTCAGTCCCCTACCAGCCCTCAGCTCCTTGCTTGGTGAGTCTCAGTCAGTCATCTAGCCAGCCAGCTTGCAGCAGAGCTCCTTACCCTTCAGCATCTGAGGCTGGACTACCTGCCCTGGGTTTCTCTCCCAGGCCCTGCCCCTTTCCAGGCAGGTGACTCCCCTGGGCAGTCTGCAGGTGTACCCTGATTAGGCTTACTTACTGATCTCAAGGGTAGCCTGCTGCTGCTTGTCTAGCCATTTTAGCAGTGCCTTGTCTGCTCTGCTGGGTTCTGCTTTACAGAACTGTTACTGAGTGGCTAGCACTGCAGTAGGCACTCTGCTGCCCATGCAGGCTGTGCTTTATTGTACTGCTGCAGCATAGTTCACTTTGCAATAGGCACGCCTCGCCTGTAAATCCCTGGGGACCTGTTCTCCTTCAGCCCATGATAGGTAGCTTTCCCAACCTGAGTGTCCCCCTGCTGCGGTTTATTCTTTAAAGTAACAGGAGCTCTAGGCTCCCTGTTACACTGAGTTTTGTCCGCATCCCTTGTGCTGCCTCCTTATATATTCTTGAATCTTCCACCTGAACCATATACCTGTAGAGCAATTCCTTGCTTACTTCTTTAACATTCTGTCCCCTGGGCTCAAAGTACAGTGCTGTGTATGATTCAGAAAATACTGCTCTGATCTGAATGAGTTAGACCACTCCCAGATTGAGAGGGAAATTTACTAGGGAGATTGCTGGGCCCCTCACTTCATGCCCCTTTCATTCTAGCAGGGGATAGATTCAGTTCTCTTTATCCCGCACAGCAATGATTGATCTTGTATGTGTGCGGGCCGGGAGCGATCCGGGGCCCTTTTTTCGTGCCGCGGGCTGTGGCCAGGAGCCCGGACACGCTGGGTCGGAGAAAGCAGGTGACACGCTAGAATTAGGCACGGACGCTTAGTGGTTGATTCAAGATTGTTTACTTACACCGTAGATGGTCGCGGTGTAGGCTGGACAGTTTCCCAGGTAAAGCTCCGCTTAAATCCCTATGTTAAGGACTCGGACAAAACTCTGACTCACACGAAGTTGTCGAGGCTCCGTGGAACTTTTTGCGCGCAGGGAAGAGGGATACGTCGAGGATTGCGCTCGGCGACGGGGAGAAGAATCGATAGGTGATCAGTCTATCGATCAGCCAGCCGCAGGTCAAATCTTTGTAGAGGCACTATGCAGCGTGCTCAAAGTTCTCCAACTTGGGCGGAAACCACCCAAGCCTCTTATACGGCCAGCAAGCCAATCACTAGCCGCCACGTGGGAATAATTTAGAAACAACCAATAGTGGGGGGTCGAATTTAAATACAAATGGCGGGAACTCCTTGCAACGTGCATTTCTATGCTGCAAAGAAGAAATGCACCCTGCAAAGAAAGCTTCAAACGGCGGGAAAATAATTCAGCGGTGCCAAAGCGCACACAAACAAAAATCACGCCCTTGGGTTGTGACAGTATGGAAGGAAAAAATATAAACACTGGAAGTCAGGTGAGCTAATTTCTCTTCCGTGATCCACCAGAAGCTGCTTGTGCTTTGTTATTACCACTTTACAGATGGGAAATTGAGAGGAGATGGTCAGAGATTAAGGTGAAAATAAGGGGAAATTAAGAGCAAGGTGTTGCTGGCATAACTCTGCACAACAGATATTCCCAATCAACGTTAGTTTTAATTTTGTTTTCCATATTTTCACAATTACTTCATAGTGGAGCTTCAATTATGTGGAGCTGTTGTAGGAGCACAGGCTCCTACACTGCCTGTATTTGTCTTTGTGACATCTGGTTTTGATCAAGGCAAGTATGGACAACAAGATATAAAAAATGCTGGCAGCTACCAGCATCTGGTTGATGGTAGGGGCCCTTCTTATGGTAGTGAGCCATTCTCAGCAACAGTAGAAGACTGTAGAGGTGAAGAGTGCCCCCACAGCTCCTCGACAGAATGGCTAGTACAATGTCCATATGTTCTGACATGTTGTGTGGTGTTTCTGTTTGCCCTTATGTTATACGACTCTTTTTTTTTCCTCTTTCTAGGCAAACAAGAAGGGAATGGAGCAGAAGGCAAAGTGACTCCCAAACTCAAAGTAAGACATTCCTTAAAAATCAGGCCAGGTGAGAAAACTGGTTACTAGCCTTTGCCATATTGGAAACCAATGGGCACTTGCTTCCAGAAGGAGCATCTCAGCTTTTTTCCAAACCAGGGACATCTCCAGTCTGGGAAAGAGCTGATATTCTCTGCCTAGTGCTCTTGATGCTGATAGATGGTTTCAGTTAGCTTTCCTCTTAAAAAAAGAAAAAAAAGTCCGTTCCCCACTTTTTTCCCCTGCTGTCTGACACAGAAACCGGTAGGTCTGAGCTTGGAATTCCGGTGGCTGTGCTTCAGGCACTGCAAACATCTCATTACCTGGAGAAAAATAATTTCAGGTGCTGTATAGTGTGACCTCTTTCACTGGGAGATATTTCTCCCTTCCCTGCTGTATAAGTTTTTTCCCTTTAATTTGCGTGTTCTATATCAGCAACATTGAGTGCAGTTGTCATTGGCAGGCTGTGGCTTATTCTGCAGCCTACAACAGCTGTATGCAGAGTGCACTGAAGTAGACAAAATTAACTTCCAACTCCTTTTCCCAGCTAAGATGGAAATGCAAGAAAGATGATGAGACAAAGGGTGGATATTCAGAAGAAGTTCTCCTGCGAATCCTGCAGAAGGTCCTGTTCTGAGATGCTCTTTTCTACCGCTTGACTTTCCCCCAACCGTGATGCTGTAAGAAAGGGCAGAAAATTCTGGTGGCGCTTACATATATAACCAGAGTAGCTCTAATTGTTCCTCCTTGTGTACCTTTCTCCCTCTCACACCACTTATAAAGGCTGTCATTATAGATTTGTCAA